TAAATACCTACTATGAGAAAAAGGTAACTGATGTTCATTTAAGTTTTGTGATCTTGTTTGACCTTTAGAAAGTCATGGTGAACATCATTTTACGAGATTGCTTTGATTTCTGATCTGAATATGCGTGAAAGGTTACCCCAGACTGTACGGTCCTAAAAACAAAATGTTGACCTCCTGGGTCCTTTTAGGCTAATGACCTACTCTGACCTGTAAGAAGTTAATGGAAGATGTCTGTTGCCGTCACTGTCATAAGTTATCTCGAAATGAGCTTCAGGAACTATTATATACAGCCAAATGTCGAGCAAACATACAGGTTGACTTTTACTTCGGCCTGACCTTCATACCTGACTCAAGTTCAATACAATTGGTTGTGATGTTAAACTCAGTTGTTTTATTGCCCAAGAAACTACTTCAGAAATGTATCGATTTATCTAACACTCCGTTGTCGCATCAGTTTGAACGATTACCTACAAGCTGCCTCCGCTGACAGCCACGGCCTAACTTTGACCTACCATTGGTCAAATTGATTCTTAATATATTACGAATGTTGCAACATTTTTATAAGATTTAGCTCAGTTTTAAGACTTAATTTCAATATTAACAAATGGTGGACCTCCAGGACGGATAAGAGTAAAATGGGCTTTAAGCTAGAGCTTACCTGACCACTAGTACACGCATGCGGCAGCACTCACGGGCCTTGGCACACGCAAATTGTCGTCCAGTGCTAATCCACATTTCTGCAAGATGTCTTAACCAGTCCATTTTAATGCGTAATGTGCGTTTTAATGCCATCCGCAGAACGATCCAGTGGGCACCTTCCTGCGAGGGGAGACTTGCACTGCTTTATTTCATTACCCTTTTATTTCGCGGAAGCCAGAAATAGAACCTTACAGCGTGACTTGCGTAGAGGAAGAGCAGTTCTGCTAGAACCCGAGCGTTTGGTTTTCAGCTAAGATTGTAAGGGAGTGCTCCACATTTTAAGATGTTGAAGCGGGCAAAGGCATCTAATATCACTAGATCGGAGACGGCCGCGGCTCCTCAAAGTTTATCTGGCAACCCCGTCGTGACGTCACTACGGGGTGCCTGGGCAAGCCACAGCATTGTAGGCCCATAGGAAAGGGCCTTTTTCAGAGACAGCCTTTGAGTAGATTGAGAAGTTACAGACGTCTGAAACGCTTTTGACATCAGGCAAAACGTGCGTTTTCTCGTAGGCCAGGTGTGCTTTTGAAGCTCATTGCCTTAGCTTTGAATTGCAAATCACTTTGAACAGGCGTTGCAACGCCAACGTAGGTGTCGTCACTGATGCCAAATCCTGGTTTATAGATGACGCTTGTGTTTTTCGTGGACTCATGATACTTATCCGGTTTTCCCAGATACTTACATCTCGCTTCTCGAAGCGTTCTGCGTCTGGAATGCAAGCTGTGCTTGCAGGGTTTAAAATATCTTAACATCTTGCAAGCGAATGCCTTTCCTTTTTGTTTGGTCACCGGGGCTAATCGTTGGCCTTATTGTCTACCATTTTAGTCTAAATGTTTCAAAACATTCTGTCACTGTACTGGTTACCTAGACTACCATATGCAGAAAGGTCACAATCGCGAGCAAGCTAATAATTTCAGTGCATATTTTGCGATGTATCGGATATAAAGCATATGCGAAAAAGAAATACGATACCGATACAAAACGGGATACCAGTTAATGATATATTTACAAAATGCCGGGGACGGAGGAAGCAGTAATAATACCAGAAGGGTCGCAGCAGTGCACAAGCAAGGTGTCGTGCTGTCCGCATAGAGACACACAGAGATGCACCAGAGCCTCTGCGTCCAGGCCAACTGTTAGTAGCACGATGTTGCCGGGAAAGTGTCGCTTGCCTTCCACGCGTCAGGACCACGCGTCCCAGAAACGCCCTCACCAAATCCAGGAAGCGTGCCGGGATGTGGAACCTGATCAGTCCCCCCCCCCCCCGCCCTCCATCCAACCAGCAGAACAGTGAGGAGCTAGGTCGGTCGGCCCGAAACTGCCGCTGCTGGCGAAAAGGGTACGCATTAATTATACAGCAGCGGCACCTCTTTTCAGACACTTCGGACACCACATAACCAGTCTTGAAGCTTGGTATAACATTTTTTTTTTAAAAATCATTATTTCAGATGGTAAACAAACGTCGTTTTACGCTACATTTTAAATTGATGTAATATCCTGCACTCATCTGGACTCAGGCAAACATCGACATTTGCGCTAGGCGCTGAAATTTTGATGATAGCAGGAACATCCATGATAATAATTCGGCAGCATTTTACTTTTAGTTACTCCAATAGAAGCATGACTTGGACAGCGCGCCGAGAACTTTGCCGTTGTGGCAAGCCTGACCATGTCCATATGCCCATATATTTCGTAACTTTCCACAAGATCCAGTGGCTTTTTAGAAGTTACACGTCATCATTGATAACAACGGGCATAAAAGAGACAATGTGAAACCTAGTAAAAATAGCCTAACACATCACACATCGGTCAAGGGATCATCTCGGTGAATCACACTGTTGCATTCACATTGTGGCATCACACACAATCGAACTCACACACGCACCCATTTATGTGCCAACATTCGCCTCACTCAGTAGAAACTCCATAAGTTGGCGCTTGAAGCGGCCTAGACTCTGAACATTGCGCAAGTCGGGCGGCAGGCAGTTAAACAAATCCGATGCTCGGTAGGTAAATCGGCGAGTGCCAGAGTTGCTCGCCGCTCGGGGGCGCCTCAGCTGGTTAACCTGTCGCGTTTCATGAGTGTGCTCAGCACGTGTGAACATCGCGGCTATATCTGGTGGCTGGCTCGTGAGTAAGACTTTTTTGAGCGGGCACAACATATGATATCTGACGAGCAGATCAGCACTAAGCCATCGTAGATCCGTGACAACATCCGATATATGGTCACACCTTCTCCCTCCGCTCACAACCCGCGCACAGAAGTTCACGAGTTTTTGCACGCGATGGAGCTAGCTGGCTCCGAGAGTACCATGCAGTGTTATACAGTATCTAATGGAGGAAAGAATTAGAGCTCCGACAATGCGAACGAGGGTGTCTCTTGGGAGTACATGCTTGACATGGGACAGGGCCATCAGAGCGCCCGTCGACCTGGCAACAAGCTGATCTATGTGCAGTACAAATGTGAGGTTTCTGGCCATCACCACACCAAGGTTTTTAACAGTACTGCTTTCAGTGATGACAGCTGACCCGAACTTGACATGTACAGGAGGCATATGACGCCAAATAATGTTCACACCCATGATAAACATCCATGATAATAATTCGGCAACATTTCACTTTTAATTACTCCATTAGAAGCATGACTTGGCAGCGCACCGAGAACTTGGCCGTTGTGGCAAGCCTGACCCAGCCTAGGCCAAGTTTTGGGACGCCTGTCAAACCAGCAGCAGTTTGGTATCAAGCTGTACATCAATATGCAGGACTCTCACGATCCAGCTAACAAGTGGCAGGCTAACAGCGTTAAGCCTGCGCGTTTCAAAACCTTAAAAGGTATGGTGAGCATGCGCAACCACCCGGAACATTTTAGGTTGAAGTTCAAGGTCAATCAGAACAAACCGTTTCGTCGGAGTTCAGAATGTGTACTTTTAGACGAGTGCCCAAGCTTTTAAAAACGTTGTGTTTGGGCACATAGCATCTTGCGACGTTCTGTATGTCCAACTTTTCGTGGTTCGAGATGCATGGGCCAAGTTTTTATTAGTCTGCCGATGTTTAGCTAAATCGTGACAGTCATGAATATTGATCGACGGTCGGATGTAAATATCTGCTGGCTTGGCAAGTGTAATTTGGGGGCTAAAAGAATCGCTGAGGGCCATGATTCCACCAGCATCTTGTCCAACCATTGTCATTTTAAGCCCAGTCATTTGGCATCATCAAACGAATTTGAGACTGGCGCTTGTCAGTATTGTTGGCGTCTATACCAGTGATCAGGGTACACCAGTCATATGTCTGGACGCCAATCGAGAGTTTAACCCTCGCCCTGACTCACCGCTGACAAGCTGCTGTTATGCTACACACCCATGCCCAAATTTCTATGTTTGTATATACCGGCGGCTTTTTTGCAAGCGTCCGATGAACACCCCAATCCCAACAAGTTTCCATAGGGATACTGGCAGCAAGCACACATTGACAAGTATAGTGATGTGTTACGGCGAGTCCTTCATGGTGTCCCACATGTGTATGGGGTTTTGAACTAAAATGGCCATCCTGAAGACCATTTGGTGTAATTTACAGCCCTGCCAGTCTTAAGACCTAAAACCCTTATTTTCCGGGCTAAACGCCCGCGAAGATGGACCAGTCCACTGGCAATGTGGCGTTCAAGACCAGGAAATGCTGAACTGTTGAGTCATTCACATCCGGCGTTCGTGAGGAGGATTCCCAGATATGACGGCCGTCAGTTGGCTCTTAACCAATGTTGCGCAAGCTACGCAAGATTCCAACACGAATCACGTCGTGTACTACATAAGATAAGAGCTATACTTATCACTGAAACCAGACTCGTAATCGAATTGCTTACGAATGGCGCTATAACTGAGAATGCGTGTACAATTAAACATCTTGAAGTCATGGACAAATATGCAAGAACACCACACGAAAAGGTGAAAACACGAGTACGCAATACGCAGCATTGGATTCTTCGGCGAGAAACCACGGTGTTGGGCGTAGTTTGAGGGAATGTTTAAACGTACTATGCTCACTATTATATGTTACAAAACTACACCCCTGGTGACAGACTGTTTGGGCAGCATGGCAACTGGTATCTTGTTAATAATTGGTGCCTACAGTCTTGGGTTGAAGTTATAGCAGCTTTATTTCAGAGCTCTGTAGGTTTCCACGGTGCAGTAGGCGAACCAAACTTCGAGCACACCACAATCTGTGACGCCAAGCTCTGTACTACGTTGCAACTGGCATGTTGCTGAATGTGAATGTTCCCGTCTTGATTTAGAGTTTACGAAGCGTTATTTAGGGCCTTCGTGGGTTTACACCGTGCAGTAGGTTAAGCCAAACTTCTTAAACACGACGTGCTGTCAAGCCATATACTTGGTGGTCTTGATTATGTTAGTGCGAGATCCTGCTCACCAGCCTGGCCCGTTTTGGCATCGCCTGCATTCGATGCTGTCCCCGACGTACTCTTTGTCGTTTGAAACAGTTTCTGAATCTGTTCCAGCGAAAGATCCTTCGTTTCAGGAAGGCAAAACGTGGCGAAGACAATCTGTGAAACACTAACCAATAGATGGATAATGAAGACACCCCCGAGGCCAATTGAACTAACGAGCATGGGAAACACCTTGAAGAAAATAAAGAGGTCTATATACATTGTGCCCATTGTGACATTGGCGCACAAGGTTCGTGTGCGATTCGGGAGCAGTTCGTTAACGTAGGTGTAAGCGATGGGCAAAACAATGCACGAAAATGTGAGCTGCAAGAGCACGGCGCCCAGCAGCGCTAGCCAGCCCTGCGTCAGCTGCAGCGCCTCGGGCAAGTAGGAAAAGCTGACGATCGCGGTACATCCTAGCGCGGAGATCGCGCCACTGACGCGCAGCAGTGGCAAACGGCCAAAACGCTCGATGACGAAGCTGGTCGGCAGGCACAATATGGCAGACAGAGCCGCCGGCATCACTGCCCTCTGGTACTCGTCCAGAGGCAGGTTCACACTATTCAAGACAAGCGGTAGGATGGCAGCGATCGCCATGCCGCCACTCCAGACGTACATAAACAGTTCGACCGTGATAAGTAACAAAGGCCACAGCGTCTCCCGTCGCAGAATCAGCTGGCGCATGGGGAGGGAGACGCCGTCGACATGGGTTTGCTTAAGGGAGGCTTGAATGCTGTGGACTTCCGCTTCGGCATCGGCATCCTTTCCGTGGAAGAAATGGACCGCGCGCAGGGCCTCCTCCTCCGGGTGTCCGTGCGACAGCAGCCACTTGGGCGAGTTGGGGATGAAGTACAGCGCTGATAGGCATACAACAGGGGGAACAAAGCCCGCGATGGCGAACATGGTCCGCCAGTGCACGTAACGAGCGATGCCAACGCTGAACGCCTGGCTGGCAAACACGATCCCATTCAAGAGGGCCGTGTACAGTGTGCGCCTGTTTGGGGGCACGATCTCAGACACGTAGGCCCGCGCGGTGCCCTCTGACATCCCGATCGAGATGCACATGAGACCCCTTCCCAACACCACCCAGCCAAAGTGCTTTCCAAGGCTGGCCGAGAGCGAAGCCTAGCGCGTGGATGGGCCTGCGTCAGCATCAGCAGTTCTCCTGGCCCCGAGCGCTGGGGCGACGGGCAAGGCCAGGCAGGCGCCGATCAGGCTGCCAGGGCCGTCAGCGCGATGGTCCAGTTGAGCTGGTCTTCGTCCATGAAGCGGTCTCGTCCTGAGGCACCTGGATGAGGGTGATGCTGTGCAGGCCAACGGTAAGGCCCATGCCCACAGGACTTGCCCGACGATAAGCGTCGCCGCCAGCTGCGAACGGAACGAAGGTCATGGCTCCCGGTCAGTTAGGAACGTCTTTTACTGGAAAAATAGCCTAGGAAATCTGAAACAAATTCACCCACGTTTCTCTCGTTATTGCTGCAGCGGAATGCGGCGGAAAGAGGAGAGAGTAGAGAGACGAGAGAGAGAGAGAGAGAGAGAGAGAGAGAGAGAGGAGAGAGAGAGAGCGAGAGAGAGAGAGAGAGAGAGGAGAGAGAGAGAGAGAGAGAGGAGAGAGAGAGAGAGAGGAGTGAGAGAGAGAGAGAGAGAGAGAGAGAGAGAGAGAGAGAGAGAGGAGAGAGAGAGAGAGAGAGAGAGGAGACGGGAGAGAGAGAGAGAGAGAGGAGAGAGATGAGAGAGAGGAGAGAGAGGAGAGAGGGAGAGGAGAGAGGAGAGAGGAGAGAGAGAGAGGCGAGAGAGAGAGAGAGAGAGAGAGAGGAGAGAGAGCGAGAGAGAGAGGAGAGGAGAGAAGAGAGAGGAGAGAGAGAGAGAGAGAGGAGAGAGAGAGAGAGAGAGAGGAGAGAGGAGGAGAGAGAGAGAGAGAGAGAGAGAGAGAGAGAGAGAGGGAGAGAGGAGAGAGAGAGGAGGAGAGAGAGAGAGAGAGAGAGAGAGAGAGAGAGAGAGAGGAGCAAATATATGTACATGTATATATATACACATATTACACACACACACATATATATATATATATATATTTATATGCATGTATATGTATATATATATTATATTATATATATAGATATATAATAGATCAGATAATATAACATATACATATATATTATATTAATAAATTAAATAAATAAATATATATATATATATATATATATATATATATATATATATATAATATATATATTACATATGGCGACTTCTTCGACACCTTAATATTTTTTTGCACTCGTTATCATCAGCAAGAACATTTGATACGTTTGGTGAAAAAGGCTCCTTCTGGCCTTGCGAAAGGAAGTGTAAAACAACATTCTCTTGCACGTACGTCATCACCATGGTGCGATGAATGAATTCATAGGAAAATATTCGCGCAAGTGAAGCTGGAGGAAGCAAAGGAAGCATTTTGCGCAGAAGCGCCTTCAGCTTTCGGTGAGATTTCGAGAGATTTCGAACATGAAGGCCTAAAATGGCATAATGCCGTTCGATCGTTCCCTTCTCAGCAGTAAATAAAGAATAAAAAATTACTCAAGAGGCGAGTTCAGCAAACACAAAAGAGATGGGATAACAGCACACTGGCCGTGCAATGCAATGCAATGCAATGTGCCAGGTATCTGACTGACCCTGGCAGGCAGACCGTCACATCAATCCATGTATTCATGGAATATAGACGTATTAATAGCTTAGATCGATGTGTGTGTGTGTGCGTGTGTGTGTGTGTGTGTGTGTGTGTGTGTGTGTGTGTGTGTGTGTGTGTGTGTGTGTGTGTGTGTGTGTGTGTGTGTGTGTGTGTGTGTGTGTGTGTGTGTGTGTGTGTGTGTGTGTGTGTGTGTGTGTGTGTGTGTGTGTGTGTGTGTGTGTGTGTGTGTGTGTGGTGTGTGTGTGTGTGTGTGTGTGTGTGTGTGTGTGTGTGTGTGTGTGTGTGTGTGTGTGTGTGTGTGTGTGTGTGTGTGTGTGTGTGTGTGTGTGACATAGCTAGAATGCTGATTGAAAGATTGCACTAAATCAGTACAAAGAAGCAGAAAACTGCGAGAATCTACATGTGGATCTAAACCATTTTAGGCAGACCTGCAAAGATGGCGTGATAGCCCAGCGATCTGTTTCAGCATTAGCAAGCTGTCGTTCCAAATGTGTCAACTTGATTATTACGCGTCAGCAGTTTTGCGTCAGCAACCAGCGCATCATAAGTAAGCGACTGCATAGTACGAATCCCCTGGCGCTAGACCATATCCCAATTCAAGTCCGCGCACGATGGGCCGATTTGCACGCCCTCGCCGAACGAGGTGATGAGCCTGAAAGCCCCCCCCCCCCCCCTTCCGCTATCCCACTACCCACATTTGAATTAAGACCGATGGCTAGCGGTATAACAAACAGCTTGTTGCCTGGCGGCTAAGCCATCTAAATATATCCGTGTTTTGGCTTTGAGGTCAAACGGTGACCATCCAGGTCACCATGATGACGCCATACAGGCCATGTTGAAAATGAGACGAAATGTTCTAAGCCGATATAGTTTCCAGCCTTACAACGCAAATCAACTCCGAAGGCACCCCTGCATTCTTTGCTGTTTTCCGGTTCTGGAAATATCAGGCCATTCTGAGCTGAAATGTCCATTTGAGTGCATGGTATATGGCCCCACTGCTGGCAGCCGCCATGCTGATCAGGGTGAGATGACGGAGAAAATACCGGTGGAATTATCATTGTCTAGGCTGCCCAACTGGACTCGCTTTCGCTTTTCGGTCATTTTGTGATCTGAGGCCAAGCTGGGTAGTTGGGCACAGTACTTTTGCACTGCTATTCAATGCAGATTCGGTGTGCTACGATTATTGGATAAACGACAATGACATCTCTAACAACATCACACTTAAGAATAATTTGGATTGCATGCATTTTGCTCCTGACAGGTCTGTGCCAAACCTGATTGTGAGCCCAAATATTTCCTGCATTCGTGATATGATATTTATCCACGTAACGACGGCGAAATAAACGACATTTGGCGCAACACTTACTAACTTGGGCGGATGAATTGTGTGTGAAATCAGTTAGAAGACCTGAGCCAGTTTAAACGACGTCACAGAGTCCTACTATGAGTTCCAAATCAATCGTAAAACAGAGGTTACGCAATGAAGACCAATTCTGAACAATGCAATTGACCTGCACCAGTCATATATCGCAATTACAATTATAGTTAGAGGCGATGAAACCCAGGTACTGCACATAAGCATTAATCAGAAAGGTTATAACCTTGGGAGCCTTTGGAGGGCCAATGTTAATTGCACACAAGCACCCATAGGCAAAGCGTGTTGAAAGATGAACAGTCGTCAATAAAGTTACTTTTGCACCAACCACGACGCAAAGTACCCAAAGCGGTAGTTATCTATCTTACATTTATCTTAGCCAAATGACTTGATCGTAGCAAAACACGTTTCCATTTCTTAACGCCATAATTTCCGTCTAAAAGAATGGGCAGATATGTCCGACTTAGTTTGATCTCTGAGGGCATGACCCATTCACCCCGAAAAAAACAATATGGCTTCATATCACTAACGCCAAGATTGGTTGCATTTGCAAAACAAATGATTAACAAACTCGAGTTGCTAAGATGTGAACTGTATGGTTAATTTGGCGCGAAACCCGACTGGCATGACCTTGAAAAATCGGTTGTAGGTCATGCCCCATTTTACAACGAGTGCTGAAAAATCGATAGGACGGGTAAAACTGTCATAAGTGAGCTACGGGAAAAATCATGATGCATTTTATTGCTGCCGAGCTATTCAAGAAAAAACGTCTGGGTGTGGGGGTACCAAGCCTCCTCGTCGGGGGAGGGTTAGGAGGTCGTCCATCCCCACAGAGCGAGGTACATCGACTTGATTTGGACCGACGACAAGTTAGGCTTGTAAGACTCAAAACAAGTACACGTATGTAAGAATTGAAACCGGCACCAATCTACCACGACTTTTCACTCCTGCCTGCCAACGCATTCCTGCCTCATTGCTTGCCTTCGGGCTTAGTGATCATCGCTCTAAATACATGCCATTTGTAGGCACGCGGCCAGGAGATCTTCCAACTGTTTGAGATGTACTAAAAATGTACGCCGAATCTACAGAAAAAAAAACAGTTCGATTGTTTCAAGGAAGTGAGGAGCTTCCACTATGCCGCCCGTCATGGGTAATGGTCTAAACCTTAAAAACTTCGGACGCATTTTTTATACGCACGGTCGTTTAGAAATGCAAGAAAGGCACACAGAAAGAGCAACGTTGTATGTACCGCATTATTGAATGAAATCGCCAACTGGCCGCCGTGTCGCAACCACCGTCAACTTACTCTAAGTTCAATATTAATTCATTAAGTCGACAGATGGTCCCAGGACATGAAACACACCTTGTGAGTACTTTGCTAGAGGTGAGACTATAGAGAACACATAAAGGTCAACCTACATATCTTTTGACAAGCACACATACTTCCGGCGTCTTTCAGAGCGCCAAGCAAAAAGCTCCAAACTTTCTCCAGGTGGTGAGCACGACACACTGAAGGCAGGCCAGCTCCCAAAAGAAAACAACCCGCCACCCACGCACGACACACACTGCCAATCACCGTTAATCAGGTTACCTGTTTCATAGTGCCGGCCATCTGAAGTTAGCTACGCGCGAGTCGCTACACGTCTCCCTTTCGAGCCGGTCACTTTAGCACTGCCGCCCTCTGCCCTCTGACGGGGACCGTGTGCGACGCTCTGACCGGCTGGTGACTGCGGAGATAGTTGGTGGTAGCCTCGTGCATATTTGATTGAATGACTGTTGCCCGCAGTGAACCGGCAGCGTTTCTGATGTGTGAAGCATCGTTGATACAAAAACTGAATAGTTTTGCCATTTCAATTTGTGTCACAGAATAATAACCTTATTCTCATTTTAAATACTGGTGACGATAGAACGTGACGAACGAGAGAGGGTGCGGAGCGATAGAACGTGACGAACGAGAGAGGGTGCGGAGCGATAGAACGTGACGAACGGTAACGATAGAAT